AGAAAAAAGTTATAACTATTCAGCATTTCCTAAACACATGACAGTTAACTTACAAACACTTGGTAACTAATACCCAGAATTCCAGCTATAATCCTGATTTTTCATTTAAATTACATTGCAGAACATCAAACAGCAAAAACAAAAAATAAAAACAAAAGAAGGATAATGTCATTTTAAATTGCTTAGACTTTTATACATGAAGGTTATACAGTTTTGCTGATCACTTTACCTATTTGGTTCTGATTTCCTGACATTTTATTGAGCTGGCAAGTTTTTCCACAAGGAAAATCAGTCGGCGACTACACAAGTGAGAAGCAAAAAAACAATACCTCCAAAGCCATCCAAAAACTTGCCAGTCTAGACGTAGCCATCTAGTCCAGCCCTCTGCAGCCGGGCAGGGAAAAAGTAAAACTAGATCAGGGGTCAGCAACCTTTTGAAACCAAAGAGCCAACCTACTCAAGATTCAGAACAAGTGGCCTACAAAGAGCCATTTAAAAATGCCCATTTGAATGACTGAAAATATACAACTTAATATGATTGATAATTGACATAATGATTAATAATAGCATAAATGAAACATTGTACTCAAGGACTTTATTTAATGGGACTTCCACTTCTGCCTCTTTTCATACATAACTTTGAAGCTTACATCATAACTGGTCAAATCCAGCTTCATGCAGGCTTTCAGGATATCTTCTGTCAATCTTATGGTGGGGGCTGGGGATGTGGGGGTGCAGGAGTTTGGGTTGGGGTGCAGGAGGGGCTGAGGGCAGGGGGGATGGGTGTATGATGGGCTCAGGGCACAGGTTTGCGGTGTGTGGGTGGGGCAGGAGTGTTATGGCAGGGGGCTGTGGAATTGGGATGATGGATTTTGGGAATATGGGGGTATGAGGGACTATGGGCAGGGGGGTTGGGTATATGATGGGCTCAGGGTTGGGGTGTATGGACGGATGGAGGTATGAGGGGCTATGGGCAGGGGGGTTGGGTATATGATGGGCTCAGGGTTGGGGTGTATGGACGGGTGCAGGAATGTTATGATGCTTTGGCCAGATGGGGTCTGGGCCTCAATTGTGGGCTTGTTGACCCAGCTTCATTTTTAAATAAAGTAAAATATTATGTCCAACACAAAAGGTTTCAACATTGTCTTTATTTATGGGGTGGGATGGAAACCTTTTTTGGGTCAGGGGCCAATGTCCCACAGGAAAATCAGTCGGGGACTACACAAGTGAGAAGCAAAAAAACAATACCTCCAAAACCATCCAACCCTCACTAATGTGGCCCCCAACTGAGACACCTCACACCCCAGGTGCTCCAGCCCCATGGGTGGGGGGGAGGAGGTCAGGGAGGACTGAGATTCAAGGCCCCTTCTAGGTTTCCAGGGTTGGTGGATTTTGTGCCCCCCCCACCCCCGCAGCCTCTGGGGTGGGGCCAAAAATGAGGGGTGCAGTGTGCAGGGCAGAGCTGCCAGTAAGTGGGATAGGGATGGGGGTGCAGAATCTGGGTGGGAGGTAGGGTGCAGGAGCAAGCTGGGGGTAGATGTCTGGCCAGGGGGTAGGGGGCAGGAGCAGGGTGCAGGTGGGTGTCTGGCCAGCGGAAAGAGGACAGGAGCAGGGTGCTTGCTGGTGGGTGTCTGGTCGGGAGCAGGAACAGGGTACGGGTGGGTGTCTGGCGAGGGCAGAGGGAGCAGGGACAGGGTACTGGTGGGTGTTGGAGGAGGGAGTAGGAGAGCTCCACCGGTATCTGCTGGTCTTCAGAGACGAGTGGCTTTCTGGCAGGATCTGCAGGCAGTGCTGGCACATTCTGCTCCTTTAGGAAATCCATCTACTCCTCATTCCCAAAGTCTGGATCCTCCGCCGCCATCTTAGCTCCAGCTCCCTCTTCCCACAATGCCTACATGCTCTATGTGCAGCACCACCATATCCGGCTCTCTCTGGTGATCACCAGGCAGAGAGGGCTGCACAGCTCCTGTGTTCTGCCTCCCCGGAGTACAGGGGAAGGTAGGATGGATAAGGAAGCATGTGTGTTGCTGTGGGGAGCGGAGAAGCAGCACATATGCTTCCCTGCAAGCTGGATCCTCAGGGCTTCCCCTTCTCCCCCCATCCAGGAAGCTCTGGATCCAATCTTGCAGGGCGTGCAATGCTGGATCGCCAGCACAGGCTCCTCATTACGGGTTGGGGGGAAGTGAGGAGAGGGGAACAGAGCTCAAGCCACGAGCCTTATTTGGCTCCTAAGTGAGCCATAGGTTGCTGACCCCTGAACTAGGCCATGCCTGACATGTGTGTGTCTACCCCATTCTTAAAAACTTCCAAGGATGGGGAGGCCACAACCTCCTTTGGAAGACTAGTCTAGTGCTTAGTTACCCTGGTACTTAGGAAGTTTCTTCTGTCATCCAATTTAAAGCACCCTGGCTGCAGATTAAACTGATTACTTCTTGTGCAACCTTGGTCGGCCCAGAGGAAAACTGATCACCATCTTCTTTGTAACAGTCTTTAACATATTTGAAGACTGTTATCAGATCCCATCTCAGTCTTCTTTTCTCAGGAATCTTGGCGAGAACTGTAATATCATCTGGTCCCTCCCATGTCCTCTGAAACACAACGGTTCTTTACTGTATATATATATTAGTGCTGCATCATATGTCCAGTTGAGATTTTAATGACCCAAGCCGTGGAGCTTCCCCCAGTTCAGTGGGAAACTATTGCACACTAGACTTCAAAGAACATTGGCAGCACCTTTGTGCGTAGCTGCTGTGCCAATAATAAATTGGTTGGTAATGAGTGGGCTGAGGGGCATAAACAACAGTTCATATTTTATAAAGCTAGTTACAGGAAAATTAACATTTATTCTCCTTTTCCTCCTTGACTTTAACCCACTTCCATTTTGTGAATGTAACACTGGTGCTTAATTATAGTGACATCCGTTTGCAGTAACCAGACTGCATCACTGTGTCCCTATGGGGTCCTTCTAATGCCAGTGTAATATGAAAGTGTCAGGCAGGCGGTCTGTGTATTACAAATAGGGTACTTCATCCATGATAAGCGATTATTATCTTTCTTTCCCAAGTGGAAAAGACCTATATAACTCAAGAAAGTGCGAGTGATTTAGCCCTCCTGAGTAAGAATCCAATGAGTCCTGAAGGGGACCCTAGCTAGGCCGTTATCTTGTTGTTGAACTTGAGGTATTCAATTTATTATACAGGAATATATTTTCAGAAGTCAACACTGGGTAAAATAATGTTAGAGGCTGTTAGACCAACAGTACAGCACAATTTAGTGTCCCTCCGTGATGGCCTTCTAAAAACCTTAATCACCTTTGGTAAAGACGAAAACAACTGTTGAAGTTCACTGGCTGTTTATGAGCAAAAGGTGTTATTGCCTTGAATTATTTCAATTATTTAAAAAAAACTTGGACTTTTCCCCATTCTGTTTTGTGCATTTTTGTGGGGATACTGTTGTAGTTTTAAGGTCTTAAATGCTGCAAATGCTTAAGACGTAGTTAATTTTCAGTATCCAAATAGTTCCATTGATTTGAATGGATATACTTAATTTTATGTGTTTGAAAGATGGGTGTGTACAATTTTAATAGTTTCCACTGATGGACATGCTTTTTAAGAAATTATACCTAGGGAAAAATTCTCCCAAATATGGGCTTTAAGCCTGACAAATAACTTTATTAACTTACATTTTTTTAATCTTGAATGCAAAAAATATTTTTTCTAGCAGATTTTCTCTGCTGAAATAGTGTGGAACTGATCGGTCTAATGGTTTCTAATCTGCTGGGTTTCAGATTTGTGAGGATGAATAAAACACAGTAACATAAGCAACACAGAGGCATCGAACCATAATCCTTTAGTGCACCGTTACTCTTACAAATATGTCTCCAAATTACCCAGTTAATTGGAGCACAGTGGGCATGGCCTGGCCAGAACAGCCCCCCGCCCATGCAGTGGAGAGGTGAGCTTGGCTTGGCCTGAGCAGCCCAATGTGTCACCAGTGGAGTGCGTTCCCGGCTGGCGAGGCCTGCCACGCCGCAGCAGGAGGCCCACTCCAGCCCAACCACGCCCACCAGGTTGGAACAGTCCCCCGTCCACTCCTGTTTAAGCGGTTAATCAGTTCCACTTAACCGTTAACCAATTAACTGATTAAACAAGATTTTACATCGCTATTCCAGATACAGCTAGTCTGTGGTAATAAGAAGCTTGCAAAGAAGCCAATCTATATGCCATACAATATGAGGACTTTTAACATGTACATTTATTACAGTGCTTGTCTTATAATTATTTCCTACCTCCCTGATAAGCATATTAGGAGACGGGTAATTGGGTAATCATGCAATCAATACAATTTGTATTGACTACACGATTAGTCAATAAGGGAAAGTGCTAAGGAGCTATCCCCGCTGCAGATCTGCAGTTTAAATGTAGTAAGAGCTGGGTGCACAGGCAGTCCATCTCCTACTACATTTAAACTGCAGAGCCGCAGCAAGGGTAGCTCCTAGACCCAGCACAAGCCAGGACTGAACTGGGCTTGCTCCATCCTGGCCCATGCCGGGTCCAGCAGCCCCTCTGTTCGTGGCAGCCGGGGCTGGCCGTGGACAGGAGCTGCTGCAGGAGTAGCCTCTCCTGGCCCCACCTATGCTGCTGCCTCTGACATAGAGGCAGCAAGTGGGGAGGGAAATTCAAGTAGTCAACTCGACTATCTGATAAGCCTAAGCGTATTGGGTAGTCAACTAATCAACTATTCTTTTACATCCCTACTCCCCGGCTTTTTCAAATGTGTTTTACATCTCCATATAGCATTTTGAGTTAAATCTGTTAGCTTTTTGAGTCTGAGAGTGTGTCTTACTCTGTATAGCGCCTAATATAATTGTGGGGGTTCATCACTGGTTGGGGCCTCTCCAGGTTACCGTTATACCTGTGCATTGTCACCAAGGTCTGTCAAACTCACCTGACATCACCTCATATGGTATCTGAAAATTTGCTGCTGTGTTTGCATTCAGTATAGATAAATAATGAATAATAGTACCTACATGGTTTAAATGCATGGATCTCAACACACTTTACAAAGGAAGTTCAGCAGCAATACCCCCATTTTACAGCCAGGGAAACAGCTTCACAGACAGTTTAACTGAATCTGTGTGTGAGGGGAGAAAGCAAAAGTGACAAACTTTAAATATGTTTGTATTATTCACAGAATGGCCAGCAGTCCTGGAAGTAATGCATCCCTCTCCGGTCAGAAAATCGTACTCTCCGAAAGTTCTCAAGCAAAGAAATCGCAGTATTCTGAAGAGGAGACCTTTTATATGAACTGCAGAGCAGCCTACCTAGCTGTTTTTAAAAGCAGCTTAGAAAACATTAAATCAAAAGAACAACTGTGTTTAGGTAATAAGTAGGAGATAATTTTCTTTACTTGAATTTTGAGTGCAAAGATTACAGTGGTAGATGTTCAAACCAACAGCCAGCATTTCATTTGTTGGACATACCTGGCAGTTGGAGCTCAGTCACAATAGTTTCTTTTAATGATTCAGGCTGTTCTTGGTGAGGTTTGTTTTTTCAAGCATCAGTGGCTATATCTATAAAGACACTTACAAGGTTTATACCTATTATAAAATGTATAATAGTTTTTCACATAGTTTGAAAAAATATTTTTTCTCAGTATTTTTCATTTTCTTCAAATTCTTAATGTATATTACTAGATATTGGATGATTCATGGAAGTGGGAACAAGATATAGAGCCTTTCACTTCTAAGGCCAAGTCTACACTCCGCCCCTCCATCATTCTAAGATACGCAACTTCAGCTACGCAAATAGTGTAGCTGAAGTCAATATACTTCTCGTAGTGTCTTTCATGCGGTAACGTTGGTGACTGATGCTCTCTTGTTGAGTCCAGGGCTGGCCCAAGCCATTTTGGCGCCCCGGGCCCGAGCGTGCGGTGCCGCCCCCAGGGCGCACGGCTCATGTGCGGCCCTGCCCCCGGGGCGCACGGCGCATGCGCTGCCCAGCCACCGCTGCTGGCGTGCAGCCCAGGGCGGGCTGTGCCTGGCTGTGCAGGGCCCCGCGGCCGTGGGGAGAAGGGCGCTGCTGGCCGGTGCCATGGGGATGGGGGGGCTGGGCGCGTGGCGCCTGATGGCAGCTATAAGGGACGCTGCACTCCTCTTACAGCTGCCATCAGGTGCCCCCCATAGGTTGGTGCCCTGAGCAGCTGCCCGGCTCGCCCACCCCTTAGTCCGGCCTCTTCTCATCTTGGGGAGTACTGGAGTCAACAAGAGAGTGCTCCAAGGTCGATCTATGTGTAGCGAAGACAAGCCCCTAAATTGCCACTCTGAATGAACAAAAATCAGTACTACCTGACAGCTATTGGGAGACTAAGTGAGTTATTTAAGAGCACCACATTTGATGGCTGAATATGTTTTGTGCATAAATTAATAGCTTCACTGTTTTATAAGAATTACATTAATTTTTCACAATGCAAATGTACCTTAAGTACTTTTCAGTTTCCTGAATTTCAAGGCAGATGTTCTATTCTTTTATCAGTATTATTTAACTTTGATGTGTGATTAGGTGTCTTCCTCCTCATTCCAGCAGCGTATCTTTTTGGTTTGGTAAAAGTAGTCCGTAATAGTAATATGAATATTTGATTGAAAATTATGAAACTTAGAGTCTACAGAAATAACTGGAATATCCACAGCTAACTAGGTGGAACTATGAAAATGACAATTTACACAGTAAGTTGAGGGGTGGGAAATGATTTCTAAGTTGGGCCAGGGACTGGGAATTAGTTTACTTAAAATGTTTTCATTAGTTATTATGTTAAATGGATATTTCGAATAAGTTTCACAGTTCCATCTAGAAATCTGTTAAGCTAATGTGGTGGTGGTGGTGGTGTTGCCAGCTCTTGCAAGTTTACTCTCGCATGTAGTATTTGGTGTTTTTCTTAAAGCCCCAGTACAGTATGTGGACTCCTATGATTAAGAAAAAAAATGTAACTTATTTTTTTTAAATAAAAGTTTCATGGTTGTAGAGAGAAGCTTGAAAACATGTATCCTAGAAAAGCCTAAAAACCAGGAGGCAAATAAAAAGAATCCAAATCTATTATTTTAAAAAAACAAACAAACCCTCTCATGGTGTTACAGCTAACACGATTTTTGAACCTTTCAAATTGGAATTGGCAATACTGTGGTGTTGCTTGCTATGGGTTTATCAATAGTAGATTATGACATCAGGGAATGGCATCTTTGTATAAGATTGCAGAGGTCATGAAAGCACAGAACAAACAAAAATTAAAATGAAGCAGCGTTCTGCCACACTATGGTCAGGCATAATATTTAGGGGCACTGTGCTCCTCTTTTCCTCAGCACAAAACTCATTATCTCCAGCTATTCCCTAGGGATGTAAGAGGTTAACCGATTAACTGGTAAGCAGGTGATTTTTCGGCCTGTTTACAAGGTAACTGGTTAACTGGCCTGGCCTGCTGGCCATGGCAGGCTTAGTAGGAGTAACACTCCCCTTTCTCTTGCCTGCAGGCCAGAGTAGCACCCGCTTGCCCACGGCTGGGGCACGGCAGGCTGGGGCCGGAGTAGCCCTCTTCCCAATTAACTGGTTAAACAAATAGTTTAACCAGTTGACTATTTTAGGCAGTTTTTAATATCTCTAATTTTCACTCTCTTTCATCTTAGTACAGTCCAGATCTACAACAGCTGAGTTTTCTGCCAGGAAAGCCAGTTAGCATGTAAACTGATGTGTGCTTGCTGAGGTACTCTGATGGTTTCAGGTTGACAGCTTCTGTCCAAATACAAATGTCAGTACTTGAAATACCATTCTCTAACACGCATACTCTTTCTGCATGTGACTCAGTCTTATGCAGACTGTCAGGGTTAAGATAGGAGCCCCTGTATAACATCCTAATGATGGTTTTAAAGTAAGAGTGGTGTGAACAAATGTCATCCCTTTTATATACGCTGTGCCTTTCATCTCTATCCATGTGCCACTTGGGCACATAGCAAGTGTTTTGGCATTTTGGTTTCAAGGTCAGCTAAGAAAGGGCAATTACTAGTTCAGGCTCCCAGTCTTCTCAGAGCTGTGTGTGAACTTTTTTTCTTTTAAACTTGTAAGTGTTAAGAGTTATTATAGGCTTATGTAAAAGCTTAGCGTAAATCCTGGCAAAGAATCCAGTCAGAGGTGTGAATATTGAAGCATCTGTGGTTATATGATGTTTGGTTAATAACATAAACTGTGCTAGTCATTTAGAGCCTGTTCTGGCAAAACCTTAGAGGAGCTGTAGTTGCTCACTGAATGCACTGTAATGTCCTATCTTGTTACTCAGGCATTTAACAGAAAGCAGTTACTAAAGAAACATCAATAAAAGATGCAGTCTAAACAGGCTTTCAAAAATATGTCTTGGGAGATATGTTTGCAGCAAGCACTGATCTCCCCGGAATTATAAGCAATATAGGTAGCAGCATCTCTCAGTATATCAAAAAACATATACAGTCATGTGAATAATCAGCTCCTGAATGGTGCTAGATTGACAGCTCAGGATACTGAGCTATCTGCATAACAACACACATTGAGAATAGTTGCCCTTTCTTAGCTGGCCTTGAAACAGAAATGCTAAAACAGTTGCTATGTGCCCCAGAGACCCATGAATAAAGACAAAAGCTACCCCGTATTTACCAGCCTCCATGGTTGTCTAAAGGAACCACCTGCAGAGGAGCATGGTCACACTTTAGATTAGCAACGAAGGTGCCATTTATGAAAAGGGTTTTGGGGGGGATTTTTTCTTTATATGGCCCATATACTAAGTATTGTGATCATATGACTAACTCATTTCAAATAGGCTACTGAACAGCTCTGAGCTGGTAGACTAGTCGTTGCAGATCTGGATGAAAATCAAACTACTGATCTACTTAACTCTCCTAAACTATCTAAATACTCTGAAGTGAGTGGAGGGTTATGACATCTGATGAACTAGACATCATATTTGAGTTTAGTTTGCATTTAAGATAATACCTTCTTCACCATTATAAACTAATGAAAGCAAGATTTCTCAGAAGCTAGCTAGAAATAGCTAGTCCATCTTCTGCAACTGCCATGCACAGGAGCAGAGGGACTTGTTGCAGATAGACTATTGTCTAATTTATTATTAATAATAATAATTATTATTATTATATTATATTTATTAATTATTTATTTTACTATTTAATGGTTTACTAAGAATTATTTTTCTTTGCATTTGAAATTCATGTTATATAATATGAACTATTTGATAGATACAGAAATAATTATACAGCTTATTTATAGTAGGCTCTGCACTGAGAATCTGACCCAGTTCTATTAAAGTAAATATAATGACTGTTGTTGACCTCAGTAAACGGATCTAGTCCAGAATATGCAGCTTTACAAATAACAGATTGTTTGTAATATTAAAACCTGTGGATTACATGCAGTGGGCCAAATCCCACACTTGCTACTTGTGTGTGGAGGAATCTTCCTTATCTGTGGATATTTTGCCTAATTGAGTATTGAAAGTGTGATCCTGCCGGTCTCAACTCAATGGGACTATTCACAAAAGTTAAGCAGTTATATGCACACAAGTAAGAAATAGTCATTGACTAGATCTTAAGTGCTAGACTTTGGCTTTGCCTCAGTACTGCTAAATTGTCCTCTCTCCTAAACATGATAATTATGGGGTCCTCGATCTCATTACAGTCATGACAAAAATACTACATGACTGTAGCTATACTCTTGAGTTCAGGCTCTTACCTTATCAAGTTGCACAATGTAAGCTGTGACAGGGCTAGAAGCATATAGTTCTAAAGACTTTGACTCTTTAAGTGGCAGGAGGGAGTGACAGGAGTGTGCCAACCCTGTTTTTGGCACTTTGTACTTCCCCAGGATGCCACTCAGTGCATTGGGAGAGAAAGAAACCAAGGCACTGCCTATTTCCACCAACATATAGTACCCCTTTGGAGGCTTAGGCTTCACTGATGTACATGTTGCTACCAATGGTATGGGTAGCCTTTCACCCTCTTTCCTTCCCAGTGTGGGTGAACAGGATGGTCCACCATATAGCACTAAATCTGGAACCCAGGATTGCGTCTACCTCTATGTCACAGCTATTGCAATTAAGCAAAGGTTTATCATTCACACCTACTACATTTACCCTTGACTGGATTAAATAAATCTGTTTTAACCTATGAACTGATTAAAGGCTATTTTGAGGAAACCATATATATTGTGTCTGTCAATTGTGAAGTGTTGATATTATATTTTATTGTACAGTGCTTCAACAAGCTGGAAGAAATCCATCTCAGAAGGTGATTCATAAATACTGGACTCCCCAAACTACCGCACTAAATTTTGATGATTTTTGTAATATCTTAAAAAAAGAAAAACCAGCTACAGAAACCGAACTGCTCAAAGCATTTTTAAAAGTAGATGTAAATAATGATGGATATATTTTGCACACTGAACTTCATAAAATTCTAACAACGGTAAGTATCGTGGAAGGTAAATTACAAATTTTGATATAGAGTTTAAGTTGCAGAAAATCATTATAGTAGAAGAACCAATCTATTTAAAATTTTAAGACTCACAGAAACAATCCCAAATATTCAAAATTTGATTTTGTAGGGGGGGAAATTCTGCATTTTTTAATTATTTGTTTGTGTCATGCTCCCTTGGTCATCCAAATTCTCTCTCTCTCTTTCTTATTTTTGTCCCCTTTCAGTCCTGAAGCTGAGTGGCCACCCAACTATTTCTTTCAATTCCAGTCTGTATAGATTAAAATCACCCGGAAAATAATTCATTTACTTTTTTTAAAAAATGGAAACACTAGCTGTCCTGAGCTGCTGCAGCAGAATTGGCAGCACATAACCCTTGCTAAGTTTACTGCCTAGTTCCTTTTTGTTCTAGCAATTTTCTATACAACTCTCTGCTTTGTGGGACTTTTTGCAGCCCTTTGAGACTGTTTCATTAACTTAGTGATGTTTGTTCATTTACTATCCTCCCTTCATGCATTTTGTCTCATTCATGCATGCTCAGAAATAATTTCCCTTCCTCCTAAACATGATAATTATGGGCTCTTTGATCTCATTACAGCCATGACAAAAAAATAAATACATTGCTGTAGCCGTACAAGAGTTTAGGCTCTTACCTCATCAAGTTGCACAATGTAAGCTATGATAGGGCTAGAACCATAGTGCATAACAAAGTGCAGTGTGAATTTACAGTGGAATAGCTTCTTGCTCATTAAGTGGCCAGGCCACATAGACTCTACTGCCACTCACTAAAAGTCCATAGTATTCTTTGATTGGCAGACTATGGTGCATTTTATGTACAGTAGCAGGGTCCACATGGACAGATGGCAGAATCCTTAACCATCGGGCACAGAATGAGCATAAACATTGATAGTAGCAACAACAGGGATCTCAGATCTCTGTATAGCACAAGATGACAGGAGCTGGTCTTGAATGTAACTATAGTCAACATCATGAAGAGCTATAAAATTAGTAGGTCTAATTTAAAGTAAATCCACCATTTCATAAGGAACCAGTGTAAAATAATGTAGTATGGGCTTAATAAAACAGCCTAAATAAGTGACTAAAATGTAAAATATTAAATTAGCTCTTGGTTGTAATACATTAATTAGTTTATGTAACCCTGGTATTGAACTTGGGAATGAACCTGGAGCTAAATGCATGAGCCTTTACAGCATGAACTAAAGCCACCTCTCTGTTAGTTAAGGTTATAGAGGACTTGTTAATCTCTAATTGGTCTAGTTTCCAATAGAGGAAGACAGAACACCACACTAGCAGGTAGGGGATCCCTATAAATATTACTTTAATTGACTGTAAGTTATGATGCTACAAATCCTCAGTGCATGGAATGCCTACTAAAGTCAGCATTACTTCCACACATGGAAGGCTTGTAGAATGGGATCTTGAAATTGCATGAACTTAGTTACCAAGTATTCATCTTCCAAGTATTTAGTAGTGTTTGAAATATATTAAAATATTATTTACAGTCTGATCACTATTTTGGGGATTCAAACTCAGACCAATATAAATGTGCTACAGATAAGATTTCTGGAAAGAATGCTAAAGTATACCTATTTCCTTTGATAATCTTCAAATCAATGATGTGCATGAATAGTGTTCTTTAGCAGGAGCTGACATTTAAACTGTTTATCACAGAGAGGTGAGAAGATGACTGTAGAGGAAGTGAACGCCATCACTAAACTGGCAGATGTAAATAGCAATGGCAAGCTTTATTACAACAAGGTACGCTAAACAAGATGACAATAGTTTAGTATGAGATGTTGGATGAATCAAATTCTGCAGATACTTCCTAAGCCACATTAATAGCTCTTACTGATGTTAGTTTGAGGCTTGCAGATTATCAAGGGCTGGAGAGAGGGCTGGTGTAGGTGATATGGTCCCCATTGTGCTAAGGAGCACTACTTCTTTGGCTCCATCCCACAATGCACTTCCAATATCCTCAGACAAAGGTCACTTTGTACTGGTGAACCTAGTTTTGTTCAAGGATACAACCTGGTTCCGGTACTGGCAACAGTAGCAAGTCAAGGGTGGCAACTGAAAGCAAGCCTGGATGTTCAGTATGGATTAGCACCGAAATGCCTTTTAAATATATATTATATTTCTTTCGTGGATAATACACAGTTTCTTTGATGTGGGAGGTTATTGCATGTATTTGGCATCTATTTTTTTTAAAGTAGAATAACTCTTCAGTTTTATGTTATTTCAAACTGCACCTCTTAAGCAATGACTAAATTTTAAACAATCAACATTCCACAAAAGACTTGCACCATAAACACAGTTTTATTGAAAAAGAACAACTCTCCATTAAAAATTAGACATAAAAATGAGTCCACAAATGTCTAGTAGATGATAAATCATCTGTTGGAATGAAATTCATATTTTATCTTCACTTTATAGTGTGACCACTCCAAGGAATCATGGCTCCATTTTTACTATGTCACTTGAGAGTGGTCATTCTGATTCATGAAAATAAAATGAGTATTGTGCTTCAAGAGAAACTAGATTCCAGATTTATCCTGTGCTTACTAATGTGTGTGCTTCCCTTAAAACTGTATTAAAGAGTATTTCACTTTTTCATTGTGAAAAGTTTTGTAAATTATACACGACAACCAATGAGCAATGTCGTAAAACTGCACTTGATAAACTAGAAGATAACAGTAGACTGAGGCGTCAGCAGTTTGGAAGTCACGTTGAAACCTCCTCTCAAAGCGCAGCATCATCAATATCAAAACCGTCATCAAGGACCACAAGGAAAATTGATCACAAGACGGCACCAAAGAGAGGTATTTACTTTTCATGCAAGGAGGCTTCATTCCAGGCTCTTCCAAGTGACTCAGCAGATTGAGTAACTTTTTAAAAAAAACTTTTCTCCTACTAGCACAGATTTAGTTGACTAATAATCATTTTGACTGGCCACCACAGAAATCACTAGGATTTCTGAGCCTCTTGCTCAAATGGACTTTGTCTGCGTCTCTTACCTAAGGCCATCAAATTTTCCTTTGGATTAAAGTAAATTGATTGTTGTGAGACACAGTCTAGAGCAGGGTTTCCCAACCTATGGGTGGGGATGCAAATATGGGTCACCTTTATATTTCAAAAGGGTCGCCAGGTGTCTTCCCAGGTGGCTCTTAAGGAGCCATTCACACATTTGAATTGCCCTCACCTAGTCTTCCTGATTTGGCAAAATGGGTCCCCATCTGAAAAAGGTTGGGAACCGCTGGTCTGGAGTATATCGGTCACCTTGGTTGCCTTAATTCAAGGTTTAGGGCTGGTGCAGTGTATTGGTGTGCCAGGTTGGGCACGGGCTTACCAGCAGAGCAATAGGGATTCTAGGGCTGGCTTCCCATCTGTCCTGGTACCTCAGACCATGTTGTGCCCCGAAAGCAGCCAGTAGCAAGTCTGTGTCCTAGGCAGAGATGCACAAGTGGCTCTGCATGCTGCTCTCACACACAGGCACTGTTCTCCCCAGCTCCCATTGGCCTGGAACCATCCAATGGGAGTGTGGAGTTAGTGCTCAGAGGGAGGGCAGTGTGTGGAGCGCTGTGGCCCCCTGCCTAGGAGCTGGACCCTCAGCTGGCCATTTCTGGGTGCAGTGTAGTCTGTGATGCCAGAACAGGCAGGAAGCCTGCCTTAGCAACCCCCACTAGTCACCTGGTCATCTTACAGACAAGCGACCCAGTGCCTTGCACTCCACAACCCAGTACTGGGTCGTGACCCGTGCTTTGAAAACCACTGGTTTAAAAGGAACGTAAAGAAAAGTTGCTTGATGTGTGAAAGGTGGTAAATGGTGGCAGTGAGACTAGCCAATGGTCAGTGACTAAATAATCATAGAGAAATCAGTTTGTTTTAATGAAGTTAAGTTATTCTTTGAATGTAAAGATATACAAATAAATATGATTTGTAACGTTCTGAATCAATGGAAAGCAGACAGTGTAAATAAATAAATGTCTGTTATAGGTGATAACAGAACTTCAAGGCCTTCGTCAGCCCAAAATTGCAAAGCATCCATTTCTTCCAGTATCATCATGGGCACAATCAATAACACAAATTCAGAGCTCATTGAGCCAAACACATTAAAGGTACTCTGCATGTTAGTTCTGTTTAAATTATGCTGTTTTTGTTTAAATACACACGTTGCATTTTTAATAGATACGTTTTTCTCTGATTTTTTTCTTTTATGTTAGTAGATTGTCAAAGACAGCTATACACTACAAAGAGATTTCATGATGTACAATATTATTTAATATTTTTATATATTGTTGGTTTTTCTGACATCTAGTTACTGAAAATAATTTTCCAGGTGTGAAGGTTTAATAGAACAAAGTGTATTTTTATAAATGAAACTAGTGTTGGATAAAACATATAATGACTTTTTGAAAAATTTAAAATTGAATAATTTATTGGATTGGTGAGAACTTTAAATGCTTAAGTAGTCTGAAAGATTTGTATCATAAACCTTTATAAGAATAGTAATTGGATATAAATAACACAACTCCAGATATATTCAGTTCAATGAACATTAATTTGTAAATATATCCTGTAGCCTGAAAATATTGATTTTATATTTAGACTAATATGTTCTATAAGTATTTTTGTTTAAATAAATCACTCATTCAATATAAATTCCTGTGGGAGAAGACAACAAAGTCACTTTGTTAAGTCAATATTTGTAGAGTGTTAATATTGATCTTTTTCCTTTGTTTTCCCTTCCTTGACTCAACCTTTACTAGTTTTCTTTCAACAGAAAATAATAGCTACAAAAATATAAAACATTAACTAGAAACTGCTAGGATACATTAAAAATGTGCAACTGGAGACCTCTGTGTAAAAGGGAAAAAATGGTTATGACCACATAGTATAACTGCTGCTAGAAAACTGAACTGATTGTTCTCATGAGGTACATTTTGTTTCAAATAACAACTCTGTATTTGTTATTGAACTCTGAAGTCCTTTATATCTTTAACATTGCTGGATAGTGACATTTGTTCTATATTAAAATTTAAGAACATCATCTCCAAGGAATTTTTTTCAATCTGTTTAGGTATCTGCACCCCCATGCAATTTAACCTCAATTCCAGCATGCTCAAACGTGATCTATAGTGTGTAAAATCTTATAGTGTTCCAATTTTGGATGCCTCTTTCTTTTTCACAAGCAAATAAAGTTGTAATGAAAAGCAGCTTTAGAAAGAAACAATTAGTGATTACCACCATATCTTTTGTCAGAAATTAGACCAAATATTTGTCAATAAAAATAAACAGATGTAACTGGTACAGCTAATTTTTTAATCCATTCTAACTAAGGGTCCATTCAAAGCCCATTGAAATGAATGGACAGACATACAATCATTTCTTGGGCCTTGGATCAGGACCTAAAAGCATACATCAGCCTCATTCATTTTATATGCTCTTTTATTTTTCACTATAATTCAGCTGTTTTCTGGGACAGTTAGTACTATTTTGGTGGACTTGCACCATTACCATCACGGGTGTTACAGTTCTGATAGCTGAAAATAGTGTAATTCAGAACATTTTGAACCTTTATATATTAAAATTGCCATGGACATATTTAGCGTATTGTAGCCAATGCACAGTATAACCCTTTCAAGTACTCTTTATTCAGTGGAGCTGTGTGACAAATTCAAAGAAAGTAATGTTCAATATTTTAAGGCTCTCATAAACTAGAATAGATTCCCAGCCATTTATCATCTGTATCCATGGAAAACTTTAAAAAGGGGCTCTTTTTTTTTCAGAAGCAAATTGTAGAGATAAGTTTTTGCCATGTGGCTCCCACTTGGAAAACAATAGCAAGGATTAGGCATCAAGTATATGCAGGTCAAAACAGCTTTCAAAAAATTATATATTGTTAACTCTTACTGAGGGTTGAGGATGGTCATTTGAATTAATTCTGGCAGAAGTTAAGAGTCAGTGTCGTGTCCCTGCTCTTCCAAAGACTACTTGTGTAACCCTTATGCAACTCATTTCTCTCTATGCCCTGGCTTCTCGTTTGTAAAAAAAAAAAAAAAAAAGATAAAGATGCTTTCTTAAATCACAGGGATGTTGTGAAGCTGGTCACATATAAGGTTCCATTTCAGAATAGTTCGCAAAAGGTAAATTAATCTGTCATTGTGAGCATGCATCAGACACAAACAGTATTATATATGGTTATGCGCATATTAGTGGAAGATATATAGATGGTGTTAAGCCACCTGTCTTTGTGTGCACATTACCTCTGGGTGTGATTCCCTTTGCAGGTAGACAAAGTGGGTTGTGCCCACAAAAGCTCATGATACCAGTTACATTTTTTTTTTTTTATTCTCTAAGGTGCTGCAAGACTATTCATTATTTTTTTTTTCAGTTCCAGACTAACACAGCTACCCTTCAAACTTTTGCACTACAGATAGTCATGTAGTCTTTGGCATTGATGATGGCTCAGGCTAGTCAAACCCCAGGCGACTGAGCAGGATTATATTCAGATGACTAGCCCAAGTCACCAGTCATGCTCCAAGGTCTGCACTGCTATTTTAACACATTAGCTCAGGGGTGGGCAATAATTTTTGACTGGGGGCCACTTCAGAAATTTTTTAAGTGGCCCCGGGCCACTTTGCAAGGGGCTGGGCCTCAGGCAGAAGGGGCGGGGCCAGGACACTTCTGTGCTTCGCCACTCACAGACCCTGATTGGTCTAGGGGTGGGCGAGCGTGCAAAGTCTTTGCCGCCTCCCTCCGAGAGAACCGCTAGCTATTCTGAACAGCTGGCAGTTCCCTCTAGGTACCTGTGCCCCTGGCAGTGGGAGGAGACTTCACGTGCTGCCTCCAGGTTAATCGGGCTGAGGAGGGGTAGCACGTGAAGTCTCTTGCTCCCTGCCCCCACCCTGCAAGGGAATGTCATGCTTAGAGTCAACTGCCAGCTGAGCAGCAGCTGGTGGTTGACTTTAAGCGTGGAGCCCTTCCCCCCGACCCCAAGCCTTGTTTGACTTGGGGGCAGGGGGAGCACGAAGTCTCCTCCCACCCTACCTTCATCCTGCAAGGAGTACGTGGTGCTTCCTTGCAGGGCAGGAGGAGACTTTGTGCGCTGCCCCCTGCCCCCAGGGCAGTCAGGGCTTGGGTAGGGGGGGAGCATACAAAGTCTCCTTCCGCCCTGCCAGGAGCACACAGCACTTCTAAGAGCTGCGCACTCCCTGCAGGCTACGGGCAGGGAGGAAGGAGACTTTGTGCACTTCTCCCCGCCCACAGGTCCTTATTGGCTTGAGGGCGGGCGGAGTGGCAGGGCTTCTGCGGGCTGGATCAACTCACTTGGCAGACCGGATCCGCCCACGGAGGCCCTTTTGCCCACCCCTGCACTAGCTGCAACTGAGCTAGCACAAGTCTGTCTACCCATGCTGGGAATCACACCTCCCAGCAGAAGTGCAGACACATCCTACAACAAAGTATAACAACAACTATTGAGTAAAACATTTCTTTAGTTCTATGAACCATTATTAATTTAGTTCTCAGTGCAGATTTAAAACAAGACTAAATAAAAAGACTTAAAAAAAAAAGCATTGTATCCTATTTTCATATTGTACTGGTGCATCTGGCAAGTGAAGCGCTGAGAACAAGCTTCTCCTGCCAAGAATGCTCATCTTCAGAATTCTGCTCTTTCTGTAGGTGAGAATCTCTCCACTGACATCAGTGGAAGATCTGGACACATAGCAAAATAAAGAAAAAGAGATCTGAGAAGAGACTTGTGCCCCAAAGCAACATAGTTATGTACCTTTTTATGCAGTTCATATACTGCATAGAAATTTCATGGGGAAAAACAAAAAAAATAAGTGCAGCCAACTCAATTCCTAGTGAACTATATGCTGTGACCTACTCCCGAGGGATAAATCCTGATTCCTCTGTGTGGAGGGGCATCTTGCAGTGGAACCAGTGAGATTCTGTTTTTCAGGATAGCAGGGATAGGATAGATATCAGTAGTTCAGGACTGGGCAGCGATCTAAAATTTGGCTTCAAGTGTGTGAACAGTCTCTTGCACTAAAGAGGTTTTTCTATATGTAGGTGGAAGTAACTGTACATTTATAATAATTGCCATGATAATTTAGAATTGGAATGCCAATACATAAGACTCATATACAAATGAAGTATTCTACAGTAATGGATACTGGAAGCATAAACACTTTTCTGATATTTCTCACATTCACATTTCACACTTTTTTGATAAGTATATGTTTTCTAATTTATTTTATATTTTCACATTCTCCATTATGAATTGGAATAAAATACACTATTTGTAGGCTAAAAATCAAGCCAAGCAGGAATTCTTTAAGTGTTTATAATGCACATGGTTTTGCAATATGGTATTGTTGATAAATGAAAGAGAGCATAGCACCACCTCATGCTCTGTTTAAGCATAACAAGCCAGTATATGAAATCTCAAGGGCTCTCAAACTATTTCATAGTGTTGACTGCATCTTAATGGAGGGAAAAATTGTCTCGAGAACCCCTTACCTCTGCATTTTGGAGTTACAGCACATCCTTAAGTTAACCACCTAAATTACTTAACATGGAAAAAGTAATGGGAAGAAAGTAGTACAGGTTGAACCTCTCTAGTCTGGCACCCTCAGGATCTGACAGGTGCAGAACCAGAGAATTTTCTGTGTGGCTGTGTCCAGATTCAAGGGTTTTTTCGAAAAAAGTAGCCTTTTTTCGAAAAAACTTAACCTGCATCTAGACTACAGCCGCGTTCTTTCGAAATTAAATCAAAAGAACGCGGCTTTTCTTTTGACTGCGGAAAACCTCATTTCACAAGGAAGAACGCCTTTTTTCGAAAGTGCTCTTTCAAAAAAAGGCGTTCTTGAATGCAAACAGGGCTTTTTCGAAAAAGAGCGTCCAGACTGCCTGGGTGCTTTCTTTCGAAAAAGCGGCTTGCTTTTTCGAAAGTACTGCTTGCAGTCTAGACGCTCTTTTTCGAAAGAGGCTTTTGTATATTTCGAAAAAGCCTCTTTCGAAAGAGGCTTGCAGTCTAGACGTAGCCTGTCACAGGAGGTCTGTATTGTTGTGAGTGGGTATCTTTATTTTTATTTCACTGAGGCAAATTAATGGAACAATGTTTGTAATGCTGCTTAATAATATATGACTGTACTGATATACCCTATATAAAGCTATGCCTAGCCAAGGCTTATCAGCCCTCTTCATAACAAAGTATTAATGTTGTTACACAATTGTATTGTATTGGCATAAGGAAACAAGTAGGTAAACCATAAAAGCCATGTTTATGCTTAGCAGCATTTCCAGCCTTTCCATTGCTTGCTGGGCTCTTAGAACACATTTAGGGGTAATTTAGAGCTAAATAACAGCACAGAACACTGAGATCCAGGACTGGTGGCTATAAACAAACTTTATGGGACCATGGGAAACTTGGCCACACCCAAGGTAAGTGGATATCTGGCTAACTAAAATCATGCCAGACCATGAATGTTACTGGACCAGAGAGTGCCAGACTAGAGAGGTTCCACCTGTAGCTGTCTTTAATTTGATATAACATTTGGAATCAAGGAGAACCATCAGATATATGGTGAAGGAAGCTCCCTGCAGAACAGCAACATTCAACGTATCACTGTGGTAACCTCTGCCATAGTAAGAAAGGGGAGGTAGGAAATTATTTATAGAGAGGAATTTTTGCATGTGATGATTTACTGTATCTTTTTGAAAAGCTACAGCACATTTGGGATGCTGTTCAAACAGTTTACTGTATACCTTTAAATCTCTTAAAACCCAATCCCATTTCATTAGTTTACCCCTTGAAATTCATCTTGCCTGAAATGTTGATTGTTTTTCAAACATTATGTAAGTTATTAAGTTTAGAGACTAAAGTGAGTTAACCAAAGGCTTTTGTTTAATGTCCTCAGCTGTGTCAAATTTTAAGGGCAATCTCATTTTGCATCAAGGATTTTAGGGTAAATGAAATTTGTGTGTGTACGGTACCAACAGTTCACCTGGGAAGAAATATTCTCCTCAGACATGCTATAGGGTGCTAACTTGCATATTCTTTTAGAACTGAATTATGCTACTCCAGCCTTAGTATACTATTAAAATATTAACCCTAACTTCATCTTTTATTCAACCTCAATCTTTTCACCATTGATCTTCAGTTGTTTTTTACCTCTCTCTCTCTCTCTCTGCCATTGTTCCTTGCAGGTTAGGTGAGTTTTTCCCTTCACATTTTAGGGGACAGAGTTTGTTTGGTAAAGATTAGAGTGAAACATTAAACCTGTATTCAGGTATCTCATTGAGATCAGGTCTTTCTCTTTCTACAGGCAAAAACCAAATAACTAAGAGTATGTCTACACTGCATGCATATTTCAAAATAAGCTACTCTGGAAAAGTTATTCTGAAATAACATGTCTACACTGCAGGGAAGCCTCAAAATTAGTCTGAGGCAGTTTTCCCTAATGTAGACGTGCTATCTCGATTTAGAGCCCCAGGATGCATTAGGGAGGAATAACTTAGAATTGCCCTGGTGAGGGGTTATTTCGAAATAATAGCAGTGGAGCGACTACACACACTTTATTTTGAAATAGCTATTTCAGAATAGGCCTTATTCCTGTAGAAAGAGATTTACAGATTTCAGAATAAGCCTTCCATTATTTCAAAATAACAGGATGGCTGTGTAGATGCTCACATTATTTCAAATTAATGCTAGTTATCTCGAATTAACGGTGCAGTATAGATGCACCCTAAATGCCTCTTGTCATTCCTGTAAAAATGATGGGTAGAATTTTGCAATAAAGATAGTAGGTAAAAGAAAGAGACTTGGATACCTACTTCCCATTAGGGATTGCATGTCAAGATACCTATGCTCAGACACAATGTCAATAGACTAAAATGTCAGAGGATAATGATCTTCCATTGCTAGGAAAATATTCACAAAAAGATTAAGGGATTTTCAAAAACAGACAAAATCAATCATTCCTTTCTTCCTTCAAGGTTGGAAACATCCAGTGACAATGCTCCTATAATGACTTTGTTTCTGTTTTTCCAAGTGATAGCTTGTGGGAAGTTTTGGAACATGCCATTTTTTAAAATATAATTGTTGTGTCTTGGCAATAACAACATGACGTCCCTAGAAACCTTGTATGCAAATAATGCAGTCTTCCCTTTTTATGTTTCCAGTAGCTTTAGGAATAACCAAGAAGAAATTGTTTTCTGTAAAAAGAGGGATGTCACGGGGTGCCCCCTTTTTGGGGAGCGAATCGCCCCTCCCCTAATTATAGCTCGCGTTGGCGGGGCGAGGGGTCCGGGCCCACCCTCTCTCCGGACCCCGACCCAGGGCCCTAACGCCAGGAGAGAACCTCCTGACGGTAACAGGCGGGGGTGTACCCCAAAACACGCCCGTTCCTGGGTTCCACGGCCCGTCCTGGGTCTGGTTCGCCCCGCCGTGCCGTTATCGGCCCAGCTCCCGGACTCTCCCGGCCCCCTCCTCACCTCTCCTTGGACCTGCTCCTACCGCCCCCTGCTTGTCCGCCCCAGGGTCCATTTTATCTGCGTGCCCTTCGGCGCCGCCGGATGCTCGCACTTCCGGGTGCCCCGCCCCCCTCTGCTCGGGCGCGCTGCTGACGTCAGCGTCCCTCTCTGGCGCGTTTTGCTGACGTGCCTGCATTTTGGCCCCGGGTTCCCGGGCAGCTGCGGCCGCGGTGCTAATTCCCTCATTAGTGGCCGCGGCCCGCGGCGTTAACGAGTGGCGGGGTCGCGTCACCCCGTCACAAGGGAGAAGAATTCATATTCGCTTTAGCCAAATTCTGGCAAACTATGTATCATAGTGTAGGACTGTGTTTTCAAAGTTTGCCATGGGCTTGCTTTGGGAAAGCTGCTAGTGGGCCTGGGCTGCTTTGTTTACCTTGTGTTTTCCATTGGCTCTGGTTCACTGTTTCCAGCCAAGGGGAGCCACAAGAAGCTGGAAATGGTGAACTAGAGCCAATGGGATCCGCAAGGCTATGGACCCTTTAATTAAACAAAGCGGCGCGGGCCTATCTGCAGCCCGCTTTGAGAAACACTGGTTTAGGGCAACTGCACTTGTATTTTCCCCTTACTGACTTAGGAAATGCACCCATTTTCAGGCCCAGTCCCTTCTAACCTTTCCCTAAGTAACCCTACCCTGGACTGAAGGACTTGTCCATTTGCTGGATCAGGAAGAAGGCCATGAACCACTTTAAAACCAGACTATCCAAAACTCTTTGTTTTGTCAGTTGGTCTCTGAATAATCTAGTTTGATCTAGCATATGCATCTCTCTCCAGAGGGATGGTTTCTCTGGAGATGTTACAACCTGAACGAATTTGCCTAATCGTCCCCTGTTGTCCTATTTATCCTTTCCATGGATGCACATATAGTTCCACAATACCACATAAACAATTGCATTTTTAATACAATGGACGCCCAAAGATTTATACAGTTTAATTTAATTCGGCCAAGTTCATTCAGGATATTGCAGAAAATTGTTCAGTTTGCCACATCCTGAATGAAGTGTGTATATTAGGCCAATTTGTGTTAGATTTATGTGGATGATAAAAACTACATGTTCTTTGGTTCAGATCCCCTAAAGTTATTTAGGTGCCTAACAACCATTGAAATGAATAGGACTTAGGTGCCTTAATATCTTTTGAGGACCTTTGCTCAGGACCCAGTTCAACAAAGCACTAAAGCACATGTTTTAGTCCCAGTGAGTTCAATGAGACTTTTGCAAAAGCTCAAGTACTTTTCGGAATTGAGATGGATTTAAGTTCATGCTGAACTGGGTTTTCAAAGAGTGTCTTCGGTGAATAATTCATGATTAATTTATTTGACAAATGTTACCTGCTTGTGACTTGTCTGAACAAAGAATTCTTGGTTGTTCAGCCAGTTCATTAGGTTCCCAGATTGGATGATCTGATAAAACTAATAACAGCACCTTTTAAAATTGCATATTCAAGTATTAAATTCTCAATTTGGAGTTCACATAACTGGTTAGTTATGCAGCTCAAAAATCACTTTCTGTAAGTATTTCAGCATCTGATAATAAAATTTGTGAAGTGGGTTTGCCAGAATATCTGCAGAAAGTGAATACAAAAGAGGAGTACATGCTGCCTAAGGGAATTCATTTAAAAATTCAAAGGAGTATTGCAGGAGATTTTATGCAGTATTCACCCAGCAGGAGCTCAGACCAAAACAATTTTTAAGAGAGAAGCATTAAAGACCAAGATGAACTTCTAATATACACATTTATTTTGTTTTGTTTCCAGGATTGGCAGTGTGCACAGTCCAAAGGATGCTTCTTCTTAGAGGAAGATGGTGAAATCATTACACATAAATATAGATTGTACTTACCTCAAAGGTCAACAGTATATATCACCATTAAACCTTTAAACCTTAGCCAGTTAGAAGGTAAGCATATTTATATTTTGTTTGTTTGGAGAATCTGCAGGGAGGTCTGAGAAACTGACAGATCCTGCAGAATACCCTATGGAAGTGCATGTGCTTTTTTTGATTGGCTCTTTTTTCAGAAAAAAAAACGTTCTCGTCCCCACACACCTTTTTGCGCAAGAACGCTTGTGCAAAAAAGGAATTATTCCATGTAGAAAGAGGAATACCTACACTGCAAAAACCCCCTCTGTTCTTTTGATTTACTGTAAATTTATTTGCGCAAAAAAGCACTTGAGGTGTGGACACTCCATGGGTTTTTGCACAAAAATGGCCGTGTAGCCTAATGCAATAGTGGACACCCATAGTTGATGGTCACGATTTAGCCTTGGATTTACCAGCAATGTTATTCCCTTTTTACCTAGCAGTATGGTGTCTGATCATGTACAGGTTAAATCCTCCACTATCCCTCTGCCAAGTTAGGATCCCTGCCCCAGGTTTATAGAGAATTTCCTGTTTAATCAATAAAGATACGATCTGAAGTTACTGGGTAAGTAACTGTTGACTTTAGTATGTGTTATATCAGGCCCTAAAGTTATAGCTTTTTCTGACCTATCCCTGTTGCCTGAGTCTTTCTCATACACTGGATAAGGAAGGGTTTGTTGTGTGTCTTTATACATATGAATCAACCATATATATCTATGTATAATGTGGGTGATCAATTTGAAGCGTCTTAAAATAGCCTATTTTCCAGAAAGCTCTGAACACCATCCATCCTCTGAAAATCAGGCTCCTTTTGAGTTGTCCTACCATTTGTAAATAAGCATATTTTCCTAGATTATTCGTAACACGTTTAGAATATTAAAAACACATTACATGAACACCATCAACTTCAAGTCTCATCGATTTCAAAATATGAGTTTATGGTAGATTCAGTTACTGTCTCTGCCCCCTGTCAATCTTTTGTGCTTTTATAATCACATCTTTCTATTTTTTTCTTTGCCATGGTTGTATGAAAAACTTCAGGATGAACCAACTTTCACAAAACTGACCAACACACACACACAAACCGCCAGGAAAAATAGAGAAAAATATTTTTCTCCCATCTCTTTCAGTAATAATTATCTTAGATGTTATTTGTAGCAATAGCTGGCTAAAAATTTTCTGATGGGTGTAATTTTTGAGTTGTCCCTTTAAAACACATGCTCTTTTTTTATTGTCTGCCTTTCTTTTTGCAAAGTCAGTGTACATCACTAGGGCTCTACCAAATTCATGGCCAGGAAAATGTGTGAAAACCAAGAAATCTGTTCTCCCCCTTTGAAATTTGGTATTTTGTGTGCTTTTACCTTCACCAGGGAGATAGTTTTTCTCAAATTGGGAGCCCTTACCCCCAAAAGGAGTTGCAGGGAATTCACATTGCTATTTTAGGGGCGATCATGATATTGCCACCCTTACTTCTGTGCTGCCTTCAAAGCTGGGTGGCCAGAGAGTGGCTGCAGTTAGCCAGGCACCCCGATCTGAAGACAGTGCCCCGCCAGCCACAGTGCAGAAGTTAGGGTGGCAATACCATACCATGCCATCCTTTTTTCTGCATTGCTGCCTTCAGAGCCGGGTAACTCTGCAGGCAGTAACACAAAAGGAAAGTTGTCAATACCGTTCCATGCCTCCTTACTCCTGTGATGCTGCTGGTGGCAACTCTGCCTTCAGAGCTGGGCTTCTGGTCAGCAGCCACTATTCTTCAGCTGCCCACCTCTGAAGGCAGTACCACTTCCAGTAGCAGTGTAGAAGTAAGAGTAGCAGTACTGCAACTCCTCCCAACCCCCACACAATAGCTTTGTGAGCCCCACACAACTTCTTTATGAGTCAAGACCCCTACAATCACTATACCTGAAATGATGAAATTTGCAATTTTTAAAATCCCAGGACTGTGAAATTGACCAAAATGAACTGTGAATTTGGAGGCGACCTAAACATCACTGAAGTTAGTTATACTTCTTCTGTACATAGTCATCCATGCTCTTAGGTTCTTCGTATTGCAATGTTGATGCCCCAAACGCTTGAGCAGTATGTTTATTTGCTTAGAATTTGCTTTCATTGGAATTAAAAAAAAATCTACACACCTCAGATTTGATAAGAGCTTGTTATTACAAAATTTAATTAGTAGCAACAAATTTAATAATCTCTCTTGATATATAAAAAAAGTTTTTCTGTGGAACAACACAGCAACGTCTGCCCTCCCATGGGCTCCCTGCCCCAGACACTGTTCAGGGACAGTACAACTTGCTCCAGGGCCAGTTGCTTGCACCACTGGTGTTCTTGGCACTCACCGGCTGCTGGACCAGCAGGCTCAAGAGAAGCGCCAGGCACAGGGCAAGGCGTCCCGCGTCCCCAGCTGCCCGCCATTCCATCCTCTGCTGTGCCCGAGAGGCCACGTCCTCAGCCTAGTGCCAAGCCGCTCTGCTGAGACTCAAGCTCAGCCCTCAGACTGCCTCCCTCTCAACTTCCTGCCCAGTCACATGCAGGGCTGCAGCAGTGAGTGGTACTTCTGCAAGGTAGGGCTGCGGCAGCACAGGCCTGAGCTGCCTGGGCCCCTTTGGCCTGGTGCTGCAGCCCCTTGCTCTTCCTCCTCCCCTGCATGCTGCAGCTCCTTGCTTTTCCTCATTCCCCGTATGTGCTAGCACTGGCTTCTGCTACGGCAGGGGTGGGCAATAATTTTTGCCATTTTAAAAAGTGTCTCAGGGCCGTCCGGAAGGGGCGGGGTCTGAACTGGAAGGGTGGGGCCCGTACATTTCTAGGCTACCCCACCCACAGACCATGATTGGTCTGGGGGTGGGGGAGCCCCTTTGCCTCCCGCCTTCCCACCAGGCATCCACACCATGCCCTGACGCGTGCTCCTCACAGGGCGGAGGTAAGACAGGAGGAGGCTTCGAGCACTCGTCTGCCCCCAGGCTCTAATTGGCCTGGGGACGGGGGGGGGAAGGGGGGTGCCCGAAGCCTCCTCCCACCCTGCGAGGAGCATGTGGCACTTCAAAGTGCTGTGCACTACTCACAGGGTGGAAGGAGGCTTCGCGCTCTCCCCCCACCCTCAGACCAATCAGGCCAATCAGCAAGTCTCACTGTCAAGCATAACACCTTGATATGACTTGCTTGTGTCAGGTAAACAAGCCTAACGACTCCACTGATGTGATCTTGTCAGTAAGTCATATGTTTTCGTGTTATTTAGCTAGACTAGCTAGTGAGATCTTATGTATGAATTTAACAGTGGAGGAAATAAAATTAAGATATATTCCACCCTATTAAATAAACAGAAGCTAGGTTTCCAATCAAGATACATTTTAATAACTTTTACAGAATCTCAAAAAAGGGATTCATAATTTTTTATATACATTTAATTGCAAATGTCTAGGAATACCTTGTTCAATAACAAGAAAAGTAATAAACAATGTTTGTAGTGGAAAGGCACGAGTGTAACTTCTGCAGCTACCAAAATACCTGACATTTGAGACCTTTTAATAGTAATCGCCATGGCTATGTCTATTCTGCAGCCTTCTTCCGCAAAAGCTTCTGCAAATGAAGTGAGGAGTAGAATATCACCGCGCTTCATTTGCATAACTAATTACAGAAGAGTCTCGATTATCCGACCTAAATGGGACCGGAGGATGGTCGGATAAAGGAAATGTCGGGTAATACGGAAAATTCTTTTAATACAGTAATTTATACCTTGCAAGGTCCAGTTCTAAACCTTCTGAATCTGCTGCCTTGACCAGCCCTTGTATTTCTCCCCAAACGGGAGTAAGATTCAGGGCTCAGCCTTGCAGCAGGAGCACAGCACTCGCCCTGCACCACTCCATGTCCCCTGGTGATGACATGACGCAGGGCAAGGTGCTCACTCCTTTTCCCAAAAACAGGAAAAACAGGGGGAAAAAAGCTGACTGCGAATTCTTCAGCCACAAGAGGGAGCTGCAGACTTGCCAACCAGAGCTCCCGCCCAGCCCTGGAAAAGGGAAAGGGAAAACAAGGCCATTGTCCAGCGTCCCTTGCCATGATGTGACGGGCAGCATGTCGGATAAACGAAGGTCGGATAATTGAGACTTTACTGTAGCAGATGTTTTTGCTCAAGAGGCTTTTGCGCATAAAGGAGCTGTGTATATGGCTCCTTTTTGCACAAAACACCCCTCTTGCTCAAGAGCCATTCTTTCTCTTATTTTCAGGAAGAACAGCTCTTTTGCAAGGAGGGGGGGTTTGCACAAAAAGGAGCTATGTAGAAAACTGTTTACATGGCTCCTTTTTGCTCAAAAGCCCCTTGCACAAAAAGGGCTTCTAATTAATTATGCAAATGAAGCGCAGCAATATTCTGTTCCGCGCTTCATTTGCATAAGCTTTTGCAGAAGAAGGCTTCAGTACAGACGTAGCCTATGTGTCACAGATTAAAGACAGATTGTCTGCTCTGATATACCATGGGGATATCAATTGCATACTATAAACTCATTCTGTGTGTGGTTCTTCCATTGAAGTCAATAGGAGCTCTGCATGTGAAATGAACGGAATATAGAAAGATCCATAGTGTGGATCAGAAAAGAGAACTGTGCCCTGAATTTATGCAGTTATCATCAAATATTTGTTTTTTGGAGTAGGAGAGGGAGATTGGGGGAGGGAGGGTGCTGCTGATTGATTGAGGGTTTTTTTGTTTTGTAGGAAAAACTTCTCTGTGGTTATCAACGGACACAGCTTTATATGTTCTCAAGGAAAATGAAAGCCAAGAAAACCTACAGCTCATGGGCTTTACTGAAGTACGAAATAAGGAGGTTAGATATTTTCCTTAATTTTCTCATGTTGATTTTTAAAAATATCTTTATGTATGTGTCAACACAGAATAGGTTAAGGATGCACAAGTTTGGGATGGTGACCTGCTGGGATGTGAGCGGGACAAAAATAAGGAGCAACTGCCCCAGGTCAGCAGAAGTTAATGTTATGGTAGCAACATTAACATCATTCCACACCTTTCAAACTACAACCTAATGGGATGCAAGCAATTGCAGTGCAGAAGGGTTGCGGTTGCTCTTGAAAGAGCTGAGTACCCAATGGGTAGCGAGAAATGTTGAGTTTTTGGTTCTCTGTACAGATGTGCCTTCCAAGAGCCAAGGGATTTACCTGGGGAAAGTTCAGCCATCTTCTCTCTCTGCTTCCAAGGAGTCAAAACATCACAACATTGGC